GTCCAACCACTGTAAGAGGACACAAGTCCAGTCTGAGTGTACACACAGATATATAGGACAGTACAGAGTCAAGGCCCGAGTAAGTGAGAGACTACAGGAACCAGACCAAGCTGCACACAGTGCCGCTGATGATCTTTAGGCGCAAGCGCCTTCGTAAAGATATCAGCTGTGTTGGCACCGGAGGCTAAGTGTACTACGCGAGCCTGGCGACGCTGCTGTAGCTCGCGCAGGAGGAAGTACCGCAGCTGGATGTGCTTCGCTCTGCCCTCGAGTCGAGGCTCCTGACACAGGAGGATCATGGCCCTGTTGTCAGCGTACAGGACCGGGGCAGAGCTAGGCCGCTCACCTAAGTCAGTGAGCAAGAAGGTCAGCCAGCGGAGCTCCTGTGCCGCCATGGCACCGGCGTAGATCTCGGCCTCACAGCTGGACTGGGCAACAGACGAAGAGCGGGTAGCTCTCCACGAGACAGCACCTGAACCAAGGCTAAAGCAGTAGCCCTGGGAAGACCTGAGCGTCTCGGCGTCGTCTGCCCAAGAAGCGTCTGTGTGTCCAGTAAGGACCACTGGCCTGCGTCCGCCTAGCACTAACCCCATGCCCGATGTACTTGCAAGATAACGCAAAACCCTCTTAGCGGCAGACCAGTGCTGAGGTCGGTGCCTGCCTGTGGCCACGAAACGAGCCAGGATGCTGAGAGGGTATGCGAGATCTGGGCGAGTGCAAGTCATCAGGTACATGAGGCAACCCACTAGCTCAGCGTAAGGACCACTGGGATCTACCGACTCCTCAGGAACTGGAGCGGAGAGTCTGTGGTCCAGAGGAAGAGGGGTGGGCTGTGCGGAGGAGAACTGAAGGCCGAACCTCTGAAGGACCTGGCGCACCAAGTGTGACTGAGTCAGGGTGATGGTGCGCGCGGCTCTGTCCCTGGAGATCTGCAAGCCAAGGTAACGGCGCAGCTCTCCAAGGTCAGTGCAGGTGTGTCTCTTCAGCAGCTCTGCCTTCACGGAGGCCAGTGCGTCCCTGTCAGCAGTGGCAAAGACCAGGTCGTCTACGTAGACGAGGATGTAGAACGGAGTCGAGCCAGCACGAACGAAGAGCGAGGGGTCTGCAGAGGACGGAAAGAACTGCAGGTCAGCAAGGGTAGCACGCAAAGTGTAGTGCCACTCACGAGGCGCCTGGCGCAGGCCGTAGACTGGCCGCCGCAGAAGCCACTGGGTCCCAGGGGGGAAGGTGCCAGTAAAGCCCTGAGGGCGACGCAGGTAGACCTGCTCGTGAAGGCTGCCCTGAAGAAAGGCAGTGGAGAAGTCGAGGGAGTGAAGCTCGTAGTCACGCTGAGCCGCTACGTGTAGCAGCACCCGAAGAGTAGTCATCTTCGGGGTAGGAGCGAAAGTCTGAAAGAAGTCCACCCCCTCGCGCTGACTGAAGCCTCTAGCCACGTAGCGCGCCTTGAACACAGGCGGCTCTCCAGGAGGGCGCTTCACCTTGAAGAGCCAACGGCCATCGACCACGTTCACCCCAGGTGGGGGAACTGCGTTGACGAAGGTGCCGGTGGATCTCCAAGATGCCATCTCCTGCTCCATGGCAGCTATCCACTGAGAGGCCCAGGGTCCCGAAACCGCCTCAGCGTAAGTACGAGGGGTCGGGATGTCGAAAGCGTCTGGGTCACCCTCAGGGACTAGCAGCATGGAACAGAGATGGGGAGCAGCCTCGGACAGGAAAGCAAGCTCAAACTGGCGGTCCTCCAGGACGTCACTGCCGAGGGCAGGAGCACCCCCGACAGACGGAGGACAGGCAGGGTGAGAGACCAGAGCGGTGGCGTAGTCAAGGCGGCGGGTAGAGGCGAAGTCAGCGACCGCAGCGACGAGGGCGTCAAGACTCGACACGGGAACAGACGGGTCGGTAACGAGAGAGGCAAGGACCCGAGGAACAAGAGGACAAGCGGCACGAAAGTAGTCGGACAGAGGAGGAGACGCAACGACAAGAGAAGACGGAGGAGGAGACGGGAGGAGGGGAGGACGAGACGGGTGGGAACGGAGCAACATAGGGTGAGAGCGCGGGACAGGGGAGACAGGACGAGCACGAGCGGGGCGGCGAGACCAGACGTGTGAGGGCGGCGTCGGGTCAGGAGACAGAGGAGGGGACACAGGAGGGGAACGAGGGGGAAGACGAGCCGGGGACGAGTCCGGCAGAGGGAACACGGGGCCGTAGACGGGAAGAGGGGGAGACGGCAGGAGAGGAACAGGCGCAGGGTCAGGAGACGGAAGGCCGAGCAGACGGAGGGCGGACACAGGCGGGGACTGCTGCTGCGGCGACACAACACCAACACCAGGGCCACAAGCTGCGCGACGGCTACCTCCCGAACCCTCCACACCTGCACCCCCAGAAGGGACACCCCCAGAGTCCACAAACGGCGGCAGCGACGACAGCGGCGGCGGCGGCGGCGGCTGCAGCGACGGCTGCGACGGCGGCGGCGGCGGAGACGACGGCTGCAACGGCGGCGGCGGTGGAGACGACGGCTGCAGCAGCTGCGGCGACGGCGGCTGCGGAGGCGGTGGAGGAGGAGACACCGGGGGAGGGACAGACGGCGAGGACTGTGCCGGAGGACTACCAGAGTCAGAAGACTCGTCGACCGGGACGACCGACGGGAGGGGGGTGACGTGAGACACACCAGAGGGGGCCGGACGGGGGGGCGGGGGGGGGGGAGGGGCAGGGACCACCAGGGAGGGAGGAACCAGGAAAAGGGGGGGAGTAACCGGGGGACCACGGTGGGGAAAGCGGCGGTAGAAGGAGACGGACTCGTCAAAGGTGACGTCGCGAGAGTGAAAGAAGCGGTGAGACGGCGGGTGGTAGAAGTGCCAGTCGGACGCGTCAAGGGGGAAACCGAGGAAGACGCAGGGGAGGGTGCGGGCAGTGAGCTTGTCCGTGCCAGAGGCACGAACGTGAGCAAGGCAGCCCCAGACGCGGAACGCAGACGCGTCACCAGGGGACCCGGTCCACAGAAGGGTCGGCGAAACCTGCGGCCGCTGGGGGTGCGGCCACAGGTTAAGCTGGTGAGCGGCGTAGCGCACGGCGAACGGCCACAGAAAATGGGGTGCACCGGCGTGGATCATGGAGGTGCGAGCCACCTCCATGACCAAACCGATGCGTCGCTCAGCGACCCCATTCTGCTGCGGGGAGTCCGGCAGGGTAAACGTCTGGGTGATGCCCTCCGCACGACAGAAGCGACCAAGGACACCTGAGGCAAACTCGCCACCCCGGTCGGAGTGAAGGCGCAAGGCAGGGAGACCGCGGTGGACACGAGCAGAGACAAGCCAGGGGATGAGAACGTCAGGCACGTCGGCCTTCCGCTCCAGGGGGAAGACGGTGGTGTAGCGCGTGAAGTCGTCGACAAGCACTAGGAAGAAGCGCTCGCGACGCGGCCCATGGACCGGGGCTGGGCCCCAGACGTCCATGTGCAGAGTCTGCAGTGGTGCGGTGGTAGGGGGAAAAGAGGAGGAGTGAGGGGCACGGCGGAGCCGGCCCTCTACACAAGGCGTGCACGGTGGGGCGGGGGAGGAGGGAAACTCGGGGAACGAACCGGGGAGACCAAGGACGAGACCGTGCTGGGACATGTGACGCAGACGTGGGAGTGCAGGGTGACCAAGGCGGTGGTGCCAAAGGAGAGTCGGGTGAGTGAGGGACCGACAGGAGCACGCGGCAGCAACCTGGGTGGACGCAGCTACCGGGGGGGAAGACCCAGCCGGGGACGGCGCGGTGTCAAGTGTGAACAGGCCGGACACCGGGTCCCGGGGATGGGTAGGGGCGCGACGGGGCCTGGAGGGGCGTTACCAAGCCCAGGTAGGGGCGCGACAGGGCCTGGGGGGGAGCGCAATGGGGCCCAGGAGGGGCGCTACGGGGCCTGGGAGGAGCGCGACTGGGCTAGGGAGGGGCGCGACGGGGCCTGGGAGGAGCGCAATGGGGCCCAGGAGGGGCGCTACGGGGCCTGGGAGGAGCGCGACTGGGCTAGGGAGGGGCGCGACGGGGCCTGGGAGGAGCGCAATGGGGCCCAGGAGGGGCGCTACGGGGCCTGGGAGGAGCGCGACGGGGCCCTGGAGGGGCGCTACCAGGCCCTGGAAGGGGCGCGACGGGGCCTGGAGGGGCGCTACGAAGCCCTGAAAGGGGCGCGACGGGGCCTGGAGGGGCGCTACGAAGCCCTGAAAGGGGCGCGACGGGGCCTGGAGGGGCGCTACGAAGTCCTGGAAGGGGCGCGACGGGGCCTGGGAGGAGCGCAATGGGGCCCAGGAGAGGCGCTACGAGGCCTGGGAGGAGCGCGACGGGGCCCAGAAAGGGGCGCAACGGGGCCCAGGAAGGGGCGCGACGGGGCTAGGGAGGGTCGCGACGGGGCTAGGGAGGGTCGCGACGGGGCTAGGAGCACGACGGGGCCCAGCTAGGGGGCGAGCAGAAGCGTGAGGGGGGGGGGGGGGGGGGTCCTACCTACGCGTGATACCATAACAAACAGTGAATTTGATGAATAGAGAGAGAGAGTACACAAACATATACCTAAATGTTGTACTCTCTAGAAGATAACCCTATACAGTCTATACAAGCATGATAACTAAACATGTTTGACAACCTTCTCCTCAGCCCCCGACACCTGCACAGTCGGCAACGGGCTCAGCAGCCTGCTAGACCGTTCCACTCCCCCCCCCTGCCTTGCTGCCACCACCACATCCCCCACCATCACCCCTGCCCCCACCACCACCCTTCCCCCTCACCCCCACTCCTACCCCTAGCCCCTTGGTCAACTCCACTCCCACCCCTGCTCCTATTCTTCCTGCTGCTCCTGGTGCTCCTGTTCCTCCTGCTTCTCTTTCTCCTGCTGCTACCTCTAGCGCTCCTGTCCCTCCTGTTACTCCTAGAATCCCTCCCACTCCCTCTGCACCCCTGGTGTCACCACTACCCAACTCCCTCCCCTCCTTCCTCACCCCCCCCCTCCCCCTGCTCCCAAGGCTGCTTCCCGTGCTGCTGCAGCTATGCCTCCGTTATAAGCTGTCTCGTTTCTGGTGTGATGGCACTGCTCGCGCCTGCTCTCTTTCGGTGATCAAAGGACCTATAAAGCACTAAAGCACTGAGAACCCCTTTTCCTTCCTGAAGCACTCTAAGCCTGAAGCTGTTTAGGCTTGATACCAGGCATGTAGCATCTTGCAGTAATCTACCAGCCTGCAATGTGAAACAATTCCCTTTTCATCACGGTGCACATTTAATTCATGCTGTCATTGGCAGCCATGTCTGGGGGGAGGCTGCAAAGATAGACAGGTTCATACTTAACGCAAAAAAAGAGACAACCTGACACCCATGGGCAGCATTACAGGCTGTCTTCTGTGCCTCTTCTTGATAGGCGCCTAGGAAATACACCCTCATAGTCAGCCCTAAGGGTTGTCTCCCGTACCTTTTTGCACAATTGAGAGGCCCATGCCAAAGTTGGGACACGATTCGACAAGGGAGGAGACATCTGCAGGTGTGGTGACTGGAGGGGTGCCAGGGCACTGTGGCATAACAGGCAGGGGGAAGGGCGAGGTAGGAGGAAAAGCAAGGTGTGTTTCACTGAGACACCAAGGGGCAACCCCAACGAGGGCGGACACACCTGCTGGTGTGGTGACTGGAGGGGTGCCCGGGCACTGACAGTTGAGAGAGGAGCGGGGGGTGGGGAGGAAGGGGGAAGGGCACAAAGGGCTCTCACTGAGCCAAGTAGAGGACGGTATCAAACCAGGGAGGAGACACCTGCAGGTGTGGTGCCTGGAGGGGTGCCGGGACAATGCGGGGCATCGGCAGAAAGAAGGACACACCACATGCAAACAGAGTTAACCACAGGAACAGAGCATGGCCTTTGGGGAGCCCCAAGACTGCAAAACTAGGCCACTCAATCTGCAATTGAGGTGCCTCAAAGCTGGCTAACAGAGTTGGTATTCCTAACCTGAAGCATCGGCTCACTAGTGCATTTTCCCATCGAGTCACTCATTTTCCATTGCATTTTCCCATTGCAGAACACTCCGCCGTGTACCTATAACCTTGCTGCAGCTCAGAATGCCTTTTTGATATCTTAATGTGAGATCCCTCACCTGAATATGCCTGGACTTGACGTCGAATATCGACAGGTAGCACGGTTCGGGGGAGGTTCGGGAGCAGGAGGTTCGGTTGTTCTTGCGCCAGTCGCTGTGGTACCGAGCCACAATGTTGAGAGAGTGGGGATGAACGCCTGCCAGGCCTGCTGCTATGTAGCCAAAGGTTGACGTGTCTGTGATGAGAAGAGTGTCGCTGGGAGGGGAGCAGGAGGGGCAGAGGGGGGTCGGAGGTCTACACCCAGTCAAGCCCACTGCGATGTCGCTAACTGTTAATGTGTCTAGGATGAGAAAAGTGCTGCTGCAAGTGTCACAAACGAAAGAAGGAGAAGGGAAGGGCGAGAGGAAGGGGGGAGCTGAGCGGGTTGGGTTGCTATTGCACCAGTTGCTGGTAGTAGTACCTCTTTAAGACGAGTAGTACCTGCAGAAGTAGCAAAGGTACCGCATCAGATGAACAGTACCCCATGAGCCGAATGCCATGCCTACCACATAGATAGAAGCCACATTTCCCTTAGAGCCCTCTCTGCCTGCTTCTTCTCCCGCAGTTGCTGAGTGCCCTCATGGCTTAGCCTGTAGGGTGGAGTGGAGCAGACAGGGAAGGGGACAGAAGAAAAGAAGCCCAGAGAATGACATGGCGCGTGACAAGTGAGCTAAAGAGACAGTGCCCCGTATGTACTGTTGTTGCCATTTAATACAGGCGCCATCCCACTGCTACATCAGGATTGTTCGAGAGATGGTGTAGTGGTATGTTGCGGACACAGAAATGGACTTGTAGGAAGCAAACACCTGCCGTCTCACGCACACCCATTCAGCAGCTCACTCACATGCTCACAGCAATCACTTCTCCTCCCTCTGGCCGTCCCTCGGTGCTCATCTCCCTCAGCATCTCCCTCAGCATCTCCCTCAGCATCTCCCTCAGCATCTCCCTCAGCATCTCCCTCAGCATCTCCCTCAGCATCTCCCTCAGCATCTCCCTCAGCATCTCCCTCAGCATCTCCCTCAGCATCTCCCTCAGCATCTCCCTCAGCATCTCCCTCAGCATCTCCCTCAGCATCTCCCTCAGCATCTCCCTCAGCATCTCCCTCAGCATCTCCCTCAGCATCTCCCTCAGCATCTCCCTCAGCATCTCCCTCAGCATCTCCCTCAGCATCTCCCTCAGCATCTCCCTCAGCATCTCCCTCAGCATCTCCCTCAGCATCTCCCTCAGCATCTCCCTCAGCATCTCCCCATAGCAATGCCACAAACACACACCCACATGCCGCCCGCCCGCCCGCCTGCTCACCTGCCCGCCAGCCACACGCACGCACGCATTCACTCACTCACATCCGCATGACAATCTCCTGCCAACCCACACACCTACAGTTGCAACTCACATGCTCACAGCGATCTCCCCTCCTCCCTCTGGCCGCCCCTCTGTGCTCATCTCCCTCAGCATCTCCCCATAAGCCGCCCGCAGCGACGCCACAAACACCCCCACACTCCCTTGCCTTCTCCTCTCCCCACCAGCGGATTCCTCCCCCTTCATCCCTCCACCGCCCCCCTCCCTGCCCAACCCCTTCTGTGCGCCATCCAAGCGCTCCTTCTCCCTTTCCTCCTCCGTATCGTTGCCCTGTTCTTGCTTCGCCTCACCCCCCTCCTGCTGCACTTCCTGGACCCCACCCTGCTCTCCTCCTTCCTCTCCCACCACTTGGCTCAGTAGGGTCGCATTGCTGGGAGGCGGCTGCTTGATCCATGGAAACAAGAGGAGGAGGGAGGGGAAAGGGAGGGGGAACGGGATGGGCCATCATGGTGAGCGAATCGCAGGAAGAGGTTTCGCTCTCCCAGCACTTGGCTCCAAGCATCAGGTCAGCTTCACCTGACTCTCATTGTAACACACTTCATTTCACAGGTTGTAGAGAAATCCTCCCTGCCTCCCCTCCTCTCTGGTTCCTCCTCCTCCCATCCTACCTGCCCCATTCTGTACCGAGCCCCAGGACTCACCTGCTGCGTCCGTCGGGACCCCCCATCCACCTTCCCAGCGCTCACCTGCTTCGTCAGCTTCTCCCAGTCCTCGTGTGACACAATGGGGGGAACCGCTTTAGTCTCATTCACCAGGCACTCCAGCACTCTCTGCAGAACCTCGTCCACTGGTGCGTACTTCTGGAACTCACGAATCTGAGGCGAGTATACATGGGATTGGACAAAGAGGAGGGGGAAGGTTCTGCTACTCATGCATCAGGCACTGACGAACCCTTTTGAAACTTCTGGAAATCGTGGACCTGAGGTGTGTACAAGGGGGAGAAAGTTGAGCATCACATTTACGAGGCACAGCAGCACTCGCTGCAGGACCTGATGATTATCAATCAACTGCCACATGCTTGTGGAACGCACGGATCTGAGGTGTGTGCACAGAGGAATACGGGAAAGGGGCGGGCAAGATTCGACCATCACAGTCCCCACCCACCCTCTGCAGGACCTCGTCCACTGGACTGGAACTCGCGAATCTGTCATAGGCTCGAGGGAAATGGAAGAAAATGAGGGAACTAGGCACCGTTTGAGTCACATTCACCAGGCAGTTATGAGCCTCTGTAGGACCTCGTCGACTGGAACATACTTCTGGAACTCATGGACCTGCGGTGTGGACACGGGGACGGGGAAAGGCACCACTGCAGACGCAGACGCACCACTCAAAGGCATCACTGCACACGCATTCAACAAGCACTGCACCACTCCCTGCAGCACCTTGTTAGCTGCCACGCACTTCTGAAACTCACGGACCTGAGGTGTGTGCAGGGGGGAGGTGGGAAGGCCCAAGGCGGCTTTATCTTAAGGGGTGTGATGGGGAAGGGTGTGCAAAAGGGGTGCTTGAAGGGGAGATGCATTCAGAGAGGTGTTCAAACCGACCTGGATGCCAAACCTGTGCTGGTATGGACCTGGATACCGATCCTGTGTTGGTACGGACCTGGATGCCGACCCTGTGTTGGTACGGGGCGAGGTAGGCTCGGAAGGCACGGGTGATTTCCTCCCAGAGGTAGTTGGCGGGGTGCAACAGGTAGCGCGCCACGTGCATCAGGGGCAGGCGGTCGGGGAACAGCCGCTCCAGCTCCAACTGTTGGGGGGAGGGGGAAGGGGGGAGATAAGGGGGATAAAGCAGGGGAAGAGCGGCCTAAAAGTGCAACGTGCATCGATGGCAAACAGTTTGGAAACAAGTGCTGCAGGTGTTGCTGTGAGGGGAGCAAAAAAGAGGGGGGTATGGGGGGTACGAGGGAGGGCATAAGAGGCCTCATGCAGGAGGTAGCGCACAACGTGCATCACGGGCAGGCGGCTGGGGAACAGGCGCTTCAACTCTTGCTGTTCGAAGGGGGTTGGGAAGGGGGGAGGGTATAAGAAGAGGGGCCAATCAGCTGGGCCCACATGCATCAAGGGCAGGTGGTCGGGGAACAGACGATCCAGCTGTTGCTGTCAGAGGAAGGCTGGATGGAAAAAGGAGAGAGGGTAGCGGAAGAGGGGCCATTCAGCTGGGTCCACATGCATCAAGGGCAGGTGGTTGGCCAGGCACCAAGTGCTCTAACCCTTGCCGTTAGAGGGAGGAGGGTGGATTGAGAAATATGGAGAGGAAGTGAGGGCAACTGATGCACCCTGGCATGCATGGACGCACCTCAAAGCGAGGAGAATGGTACAAGGCGGGAAGAAGGTAGGCTTCGGTCAGCAGACCAAGGACGCGAACAGCGGAAAGGGAGCCGTGTGGGTGCTGCTGGTGCTGTGGACAGAAGAACGCTAGGTCTGCCTCTGATGCACTAGGCGCAAGGATGCACACATGGAGAAACGCATGCATGCACGTTGACGCACACTTGCAAATGCATGCATGCACATGCAGATGAATGGCACACAAAGACATGCACACAAAGACACGCACACAAGGACATGCACACAAGGACATGCACACAAAGACATGCACACAAAGACATGCACACAAGGACATGCACACAAGGACATGCACACAAAGACGTGCACACAAGGACATGCACACAAGGACATGCATGCAAGGACATGCACACGAGGACATGCACACAAGGACATGCACACAAGGACATGCACACAAGGACATGCACACAAGGACATGCACACAAGGACTTGCACACAATGACATGCATGCACACAAAGACATGCACACAGAGACATGCACGCCTCCACACAGGAAGCACCGAAGAATGAGCGGATGGCACCTAAAGTATCCTGATCTTGAACCACACGACCACAATAACTTCAAGGTTCAAAGTACCTGGAACCGCGCCAGGTGTTTTCGGACTCGGCTGGTTGGTTTCGCCCTCGGCAGGTTCAAGGTACTTTGCACCTTGAAGTTATTGTAGTCGTGCGCTTTAAGGTGACACACATATAAAGAAAGACCAGGTGGCATGCAATCAATTGCATACATTGAATCATTAAGCATATGTAACATGGACAGCTATGCGACACAGTGAGATGCGGAAGGTCAAGAGGGAGCAGAGAGGGGTGTGGTGTGACATGGCGACTATTGAGTTGACCCAAAGGATGCGATGTCTACATGGCAGCGAGGTTACTATGAGTGAACTCGTTACAATGCCACAGTGGGATGCGGGAGGTCAAGGGGAAGCAGAGATGGGGTGGGGCTAGGGTTGAGCAAACTACCCGCCCGGGTCGGGTACCCGGTACCCGGACCCACTTTTAGGGCGGGTCGGGTATCGGAAATCCTGAAAATTACCCGCCGGGTCGGGTCCGGGTTACCCGGGCCGGGTATCAATACCCGCTACCCGAAATGCTACCCGACGTGTCGGGTAACGGGTACCCGACCCGGTCGGGTAAAAAATTACCCGAGGTCGGGTATTCCACCTAGACATGGGCGTAAGTCGCGCTGTGTTTTAGGTTTTGTGGCAAAACAGTTTTGGAGGTGAGGGGGGACGAGTGGAGCCCTACCTAGCCTAGCCCTACCTAGCCTAGCCCAACTTTAGGATGTCCACTAGTAGGTGGCGGGTAAAATTACCCGCTTTTCAGGGGGTCCGGGTCGGGTATACCCGGACCCGCCAGGCCGCCTAAAAAAACCGGGTCCGGGTAAGGGTCCTGGGCATATTACCCGACCCGGACCCGACCCGAAATTACCCGACCCGAGGTCGGGTATGGCAAAACCGGGTCGGGTCGGGTAATTACCCGGTTTTGCTCATGCCTAGGTGGGGCAATGAGAAGGAGGGTGTGGATTGGGCAGAGAGGAGGAGAAATAAAAGTGGGGCAAGGAGAAGCAAGGGTTGGGTTGGGTGGGGCAGCAGAAGGATGCGCAGCAGAAGGATGGGGCAGCAGAAGCATACGTGAATTTGAGCTCCACATACACCATGTTGACCTTTGTCCTGCTGCTGCTGCTGCTGCCGTCACTGCTGCTACTGCTGTTACTCTCCCCACTGACACTACTGATGTCTACTGCAGAAGCAGAAGCGGCCGCAGCAGCAGCTGCTGCTGCTGCAGGAGTATCAGAGGCAGCAGATGTGGAATCTACGCTTGCCCCGCTTTCCTCCCCACTAATGCTGGTAACGGTAGCATTATTGATGGTAGGGGTGCTGTTGGTGGCAGTTCGCATGGCTGCAGCGTATGCTGGAGTGCCGAATCTTGGAGACTGCTTGATGATCACATTGCGCTGGGCTCTGCAGAGAGGGGGGGGGAGAGTGGAAGAGGGGGGGGCGTAGGTGAGTGGAGAGGAGGAAAGGGGACGAGCAGAGCTGCTGGCCGTCGCTGTCATGTTGATGGCGCACTTACGCGAAGGTGGGCAAGTATTTGGGAATCCACGTGGAAGGAGAGGAGGTGAAGGCGAAAAGATTGCAGAGGCAGACAATACCTTGGCATTCATTACCAAGTCGTTATGTACCTCAGAGGGACGCAGCACTCACGCGAAGGTGGGCGAGTCCATGGGCATCCACGTGGAGGGGAAGGGACTGAAGGCGAAGGGGTCGCAGAGGAAGATGGCTGCCTGGGCGTGAGGGTTGATGATGAGCGTGCGGTTGGTGAGGAGGGCGTAGGCGAAGGAGGAGACGAGCGAGAGCAGCTGATTGCCCAGGCCTGCAGGGGGGTAAGAGGGTTAAGAGAGAGGGGAAGTGGGCCGGGTAGGGGGGGGGGAGGTGAGAGTGCGCTCAGGGTTGATGATGAGTGTGCGGTTGGTGGGGAGGGCGTAGACGAAGGAGGAGACGAGGGATAGTAGCTGATTGCCCAGGCCTGGAGGAGGGAGTGGGGGGCAGAGGGTGTAGGGGAAGGGAGCGCGGAAATGGAATAGGAGGGACAGAAAGAGCAGTTGGTGCAGAGGGCGTAGGTGAAGGGGGAGACGAGGGAGGGGAGCTGGTTTGCCCAGGCCCAAGAACGGGTGGAAGAGGAGGGATGGAAGCCAAACAGCAGTGGGCTGATCATGAGCGTGTGGGACTATTCCGATGGTGAGGTGAGGAGGAGGGTGCGGACAATGGAGCAGACGGGGGAGAGCAGCAGGTTGCCTAGGCGTAAGCAAGGTGGGGATGGGGGGAGGGGAGGGATGGTAGAGAGAGAGCCGCAGGAAGAGGACAAGAGTGCGGTGGGTGCAGTGGGCACAGATGAAGCAGCAGACGGGACAGCAGCTAACAGCCCAGGAAGGCCTAGGAGTGCCTTGGGCCTAGTGCCTTGGGCCTAGTGCCTTGGGCCTAGTGGCCTAAGCCACCTCAGATTAAGCCTTACCGCTGTATGCGGGATCTAGATGATAAAGGTAGGAGCAGTCCTGGACAGTGGATAGATTAACTCCGTCCTTGAGTCCCTTCATGCTGCACAATGGGATGGGAGTTTAAAGCCAGAGTTGAACAATGGGAAACAGTTGGGAAGAAAGGTGCAGATTACAGAGGCTGTCGGCCGGTTGCCTTTTTTAAGTGGGGTAGAGCTGAATGCATGCGTTTTTGTCAATAGTGTGCAGAGAGGGCATTGGCGGCGCAAGTGCACACATGCATTGGTTTGAGCGAGCCACGTGGCACGCACGGATTGGAGAGGAAGGCAGGCCAGTCCTTCACCCCATTGATGCACCGCGCCTGCCTCTCAGCATACGCCTCCAGCCTCGCTACCAGCTCCTCCGTCATTGGCGTGCTGGCAGATGATGCCTGCACGGGTGTTGGAACAAGGATGGGAGCAGATGAGTCGAGTAAAGGTGTGGCTATATTTATTTCAGCGTGTGCCTCTCCACTCCACCAGCTTCCCTGTCGTTGGAAATGTGGCTCATGCCTTACGAACATTGGAGAGGGAGAAGGTACCTGCCTCATGGCACAAGCTTTCAGACGCTCCGCCAGCTGCTCTGTCATGGCGAGTTGTGGGTGCTGCCTCCAGAACAGGAAACATCCAAACAGGATCCGAGTGCCTTCTCTACAGCTGCTGGCTCCTCACACAATTCTGAAATTCTTGTGACTCACCGGGTGGCAGTAGCGCTACCTCTCGCGCACACTCCACCACGAGTTGACTGTTGAACAGCCGGTGGTGCCGTTTTAAGACGTTCCAGCATGCCTTTCAATGGCTGTTACTCCGGTTGCTGATAGTGCCTCTCATGCCACGATTTAAAAGACGTCACAGCAGACTTTCAGCTCACCGGTTGGTAGAAGCGCCTCTCGTGGACGCTCCAGCACAAGTTGAACAGCCAGTGGTGCCGTGTTTTCGTGGGGCCATAGCGGTCATACAGAGAGGACAAGCACTGCTCAGCACTGAAGCCTCAAATCCACGCGTTCTAAGATGTTCCAGAACACCTTTGAACGGTTGTGCCTCACCGGCTGGTAGAAGCGCCTCTCGTGGACGCTCCAGCACGAGTTGAACAGCCGGTGGTGCCGCGCCCTCACAGCGCCATCAGGTTCATACAGCGAGCGCCGAGCACGGCTGAGGCTCCCTGCTTCCAGTCTCAACCGATGCTGCCTTCCCCCTCTCTTCCGCTCTCGTCCCTGCCTTCCTTTCTGCCCCTCTCCTTGCTGCTCCGTACTTTGTGTCTCTCCTCCGCTTCCTCCTCGTCCTTTCTGCGCATTCTCTTCCGGCAACCCTCTCCCCTGTTTGTACTTTCTCCAGCGCAACGCTCGCTCTCCCCATCCATCTATCCCTGCCCGTGCCTCCTTCCACTCAAGCGTTTCGACTTCCAAGCCTCTCTGTGGCGCCTGCGCTCCTCCCTGAATTCCTCCTCCTCCTCCTATCCGTTCTAGTTTACTGGTATCGTCTCCCTCGTGTCTGTGCAACGCCTCAAGCCCGTCAGTACTGTCACTCTTACCGTCACCAGCAGCAACAAGGGTGAAAATCACCTGCAAAGGATCAATGCCGGAGTGGACAGCAACAGAAGCAGAAGCGGAAAAAACGAGGAAAACACGCCCAGTCCAGGCGCAAGTGTCAAAGGTTGCCATGGTTGCGTCGTATTCTGCATGTCAATACGCCCAGCACCAACCAACACAAGGGCCAACACAAGGGCCGACAAGAGTGCCTGAATTTACAACCGCCATGCCGGAAAAGGGTTGAGAGAAAGAGCCACTTTCCGACTCGATTGGCGTGTTGGAGTGTTGGAGTGACACGTTGGATGTATCTTTTAAGAATCATCCAGCGCTCGACGCAGCTCATTTTGATAGACCGACAACAGCAGTTATTAGGCCGTACCGGACAGAGGCGGCCCGCACACAGTAGAGCGGTGGCGAGGACGAGACGGAACAGCTCCATCGCAGCCGTCCAATATCAAGCCCAATCATTAACGATCATACGACGTACCGGAAAGCGGTGGCTGGCGCACAGTAGAGCGATAACGAGGACGAGTTCGAGCAGCTTCATCGCAGTCGTCCAACATCAAGTCCGTGGGTTTTTCACGCTGCTACCCTAACGCCGACATTCATGGCAAGCTCTGATGATTATCGATCACCCCCGGCATGCAGGCGATGCAATCGTGCTACATCATGGGTACCGCACGCCCCCTTTTCGTAGTCCGTAACCACGACTCGTTCCTACGCCATGGCCAGACTGACCATTATGACTCTTTACAGCAAAGGCCGAACATGGGGAACAAGGGGTCTGACACTGCTGAAGTTCCCCAGGCCCAGAATGTCAGCAAAATTGGCGCGAACTCGTTTGAAGCTGGAACAAAATTGCACATGGGGTATCGTCGAATGCTGCTTATTATATAATTTAAATAATAATAGAAATATGGTACACGGAATATAATAAGTGTATTGTCATATAAGTGAAAATGGAGCTGCTTGTGCAATGACGGAACAGGACCCTTCAGTAAGGGCGGGCTAGATTAGGCTCGAGGCAAAAACCGTGATGGGTGTAAGAACTTGATGAATACCACTTGCAGCATTTGGTAAGCTTATCGTGCATACGACACCATACAAAGGGGGAGCTATATAAGCATGTATTAGACACCAAAAATCTCACAAAGGAAACCCACACAGACCAGATACATTGCAACATTAGAGCTCTTGGTAAGCCAGTCACTAAGATGGGAACTTGATAATCAGCAAATGGGATCTTGGATGAGAGTGCCGTGGGCTAACAAGCCCATTAGCCCTTTCCCTCGTGGCCATCCCTCATGCTGCTTTCGCACAGAAGAAGCAGAGCGGAAGCATGGGAAAGAAAGGAACAAAGGGGATGATAAATGGTGGTCAAGGGAAAGAGCAAGTCCCACAACAACGCATGAGCAAGGATGACATGAGAGGCGTACTGTATAGTGTACAGTGCACATGGCATTGAAAATTGGTGACTTCCATGCTGATTTTCACCAATCAACAATACAACAACGCATGTGGGTCCCTCATTCCGCTTACCCAACTCGCATTTGACTGCCACAGGCACCTGGGCGGCAGTGAGGGCCCTGAGAGTGGCAACACCGAGGGAAGGCATGGGGAGTGGGGAACAGCACGCGAGAACGGACGGGAAGCACGGGCATGGGGAATGAGTAAACCGCAGACTTGAAGCACATGGGAAACGGAGACAGCAAAAGCACATCAGGTGAAACAATATGCTGCGCGCAGCAAGAAAGTCTCAGCTGGAAGGGGCTTGCAAAACTTGCGCCAAACGGCGCAGAAACTCTGCTCTGCTCACAAAAGGCAAACTCACCGGCGCGTCAACACGTTGTGCCGGGCAGTGCGGCTCATGCCACTGCCAGTAGCCTTCAGAGCAGCCGGCAGCGCGAGCGTCAGGTACGGACGCCCCCCACACTTGGGGGTGCGGTAAAACGAGAGCTTCTTGCACATGAAGTGCCCCCCGCCATCCGCGTCCCACTGAACCTTCACGGTTGCGCCCTTGGGGAAGCGCGTGCTGGCGGGTGGGAAGCGGCTGCAGAGATCATAGTCGAAGAAGACGGTATTGGAAGCTCCCGATGGACCCGTGAAATAGAGCTCCGTGTACGCCATGGCGAAGGGGTTGTGCGGCGCGAAGAACTCGGACGCGCTGGCCTGAAAGATGAAGCCGCCGCCGCCCATCGTGATGATCGCAACGAGGCCCGCAGCGATTACGGCGGCGAGGCGCCGAGCTCCGAGGGCGGATCGCCCGCCGCGAAGGGATGACGGTCCGCGCGCCATCAGAATTATGGCGTGCTTGAAAGCAGATGGGGAGAAGCAAGCAAACAAGCAAGCCGCAGCGAGACACTACGAAAGAAGCGAGAATGTCGAGGGACGGCAGAAGAACTCTAGAGATGGGGAACGAGGGAAGCTAGAAGGTAGAGAAATGGTGACGGAAGGAGGAAACGGGGGGGATTTATGTGTGGGAGAGTGAGCGCGTCGAGTTCCACCCGGGCGCACAATGAGGGCGCGAGTGGGAGGAGAGTGAGAGAGAGTGAGAGCATAGAATGCGCGATTCGACGCTGGAGGATGTTGCGGATGGGGGGAACGCGCCATGGTGTCAAGTCAATCGTATTTTGACGTCGCCGAGAGGAACTAGGCGTGCGCACTGCAAGCGGTTGTAACGCGGTTGTAACGCGGTTGGAACGCGTTTGAACTGCAAGTAGGTCCTCGGAGTTAAGGGGGTCGTGTACACGCGCACGCCTACTAGTTTCTCTCGACGCCGTCCGTCCCGAGCGCGCCCTGACAGATCCCGTCCGTCCTGATCGCGTTTGCCGATAAGGGTCTGCTGCAGGTGCGCTCATGATTAGGCTACTTCGAGAAGGAATGCGGCCGAGGACAATTGACTGGCTTTGCGGCAGTCGCGCAGAACGCGATACTAACGCGGTACTAGCGCGATACTAACGCGATACTAATGGCGGGCTGCGTGCAGGTTGCACTGCAGGCCACCCGCCACTGGAACACGACAGGCTCACACAACCACGAGGAATACGGCGGGAACCCTTCACAAATCCCGCTACCGAAGCGAAATGGTTTTGTACCGTTCGAACAACGCTAGCACCGTACTGCACAGCGTTCGGAGATGTCCAAATGTTATGCGTGCGTTACGATTAGGGTAGCGAACGCGATTTGGGTGGGATTAGATGAGAGCTCATCGCAAGTCTTTTATCGAAATTTGGCTGTAGGGAACCCAGATTTACTATGGCGGGGTCTATTTCTGGGGAAATACAGTAGTCACTTCCAAGATTCATTCAAGTATTTCTCATGCAGCTGAACTCGAGAATGACCCACCCCGCGCAGGTGCACTACGTGAATTTCTCGCCCTCCATCTCACAGCCAGTCAGCAGCGCCTCTCTTCACAATCACTGCCAGGATTCATCCACTCACTTCGTATGCAGCTGAAGTGACCCACTCCCTACACCGACACGGCGACTTACTTGCCCTGCATCGCATAGCCAGTTAACAGCGCCCCTCTTTACAGTCACTGCCAGGACTCGTCCACACATTTCTTATGCAGTTGGAAAGCCGGAGTGACCCACTCCCCACAGCTGCACTGTGCTCCCGACCAGTTGAAATAGCCGAGGCGGGTGGAGCACTGAGAGCAAGAAAGCTTCCCTTCTATCTGCCCGCTTTGCACTGCATAGGGTGAGAGGGGAAGGGATGGGAGGGACAACACACTGGAGTGACCCACTCCCCACAGCTGCACTGTGCCCCCGACCCGTGAAATAGAGCACCGAACGAACAGAAGAAAGCTCCCCTTCTATCTGGCCGCTTTGAGGTGCATAGGGTGAGAGAAACAGCGGGCAGACATGGGGATGAGCTGGAATGACCAGACCACTCCCCACCGCTGCAACGTGCTCCCGACCAGTTGAAACAGCCGCGGCGAGTGGGGCAGTGGACACACGAGAGATTTCCTTCTATCTGCCCGCTTTGCAGCGCATAGGGTGAGAGGGGCAGGGATGGGAGGGACAATGCACTGGAGTGACCCACTCCCCACAGCTGCAGCACTGTGCTCCTGACCAGTTGAAGAAACCGAGGCGAGTGGAGCACTGGGCTCACGGGAGCTTGCCTTCTATCTGCCCGCTCTGCACTGTGAGGGAACCGAGAACTGCAGGGAGGAGGGAATGCAGGAAAGGGGTGCAGCAGGAAAGCAGCGAGGAAGGGTGATTGGGAAGATCCAAAGTACACGTCATCACAGCCATCCAGTATGAGAGGTCTGTCTGTAGTAAGTGAAAGAGGTTTGTTTTGAGACGTCTCAAAATAAACCTTATAGGAAGAGGTATGTATGACGTAAGTGAAGGAGGGGGGCGGAGGACGAGAGGGGGGAGTGGAGAGGGGGAGAATGAGAAATCTGGCACAAGAGAAGTTGAATCATCACTCCTCAAGAACATCCATTTTCTCCATAATCACTCACACTTACCGTTGATCATCATCCATCCCCCCAACTTCTCCTCAACCCACTCTCACCGGTCCCCACCGATTCTCACCGTTCTCCACCCATTCTCACCATCGCCCATCCATTTAAGTGGTTCCACAAACACAGACGTGCAGCCCCTCTCAGCGCCATCCCCCCACTCCTTGCCCTTCCCACGAAACCTCCCTCCTCCTCCAACACTGCCATTTCCAGCCACAGCCACAGCAGCAGCAGCAGCACCCGTGGCACTAGGACCAGCACCAGCAGCACCAGCAGCAGCACCAGCAGCACCAGCAGGGCTGCTGACAGGTTGCTTGGGAGCATGGGGGAGCACGTTGGCTGCAGCAGCCACCACCTTTCGGCACTTTCGACAGCGATAGACCGCGGGAACTTTGGCTCCTTCGTTCGACGGCCCTGCTCCTGCCGTTGCTGCTACTCCTGCTGCTCCTGCTGGTGCTGCTCCTGCTGCTCCTGCTCCTGCTCCTGCTGCACCTACTCCCCCGTTTTGCCCCGTCCCATCCCGTAGCTGCGCATCCCCGCTACAAGCATCTCCATTAGTAGCAGCCCCAACAGGCACACCCTGGTGCAGCGTGCCGGTGATTCTCCGTGCCAGCAGCTGCAGCTTGAAGCGGGAGTAGTCGGAGTGGTGCGGGTTGACAGCCCACCCCATGCTGTGGAACATGCGGAGCTGGTAGGGGGAGGGGGGGGAAGGAGAGTGGGTGGGGGGGTTGCCTAGAATAGAACTGGTGGGAGTGGCTGGAGTGGTGCGGGTTGACGCTCCACCCCATGCTGTGGAACATGCGCAGCTGAGATTGGGGAGTTGGGGGAGGCGCGGAGGGGAAGAGGGAGGAACAGAGATGAGGGTTGAAGGCGCATGAGGGGGGATTAGTCGGAGTGGTAGGAGTTGACAGAATGCACCCCATGCTATGCATCCCATTCTGTGAAACATGCAGAGCTGTTAAGAGAGCATGGCGGAGACATGTGATGGGGGGGGTTTGCTTAGGACAGGTGGAGGTTGGGAATAGTCGGAGTGGTGGGGGTTGAGTTGGCAAACCACCCCATGCTGTGGAACACGCGCAGCTGGCCGGGGGACATGCAATGCAGGGGAGGGGTCACTTCAGAGGGAGTTGATAGAATGCACCTTATGCTGTGGAACATGCATAGCTGAGGAGAGGGGAAGAAGGAAGGAAGGCAGGAGGGGCAGGGAGGCGCACAAGAGCACACAGGTTGACAAGAGCACACAGGTTGATAGTATGATCCAAGCAATGTTTCGACACGCCTCAAAGAGTGCATCGTTCCAAGCAGCGTCTTAACTAGAGTGCAGTGCAGGGGGGTGGCGAATATACATTGCCGATTGATTGCTTGATGATGCAGGACGCCATTGTTGGGGGATGCGAGGGGAAGCTTGGGGACGCTTAAACTGCAGTCTACAATCTCCTCACCGTCTGGGGGCGTCTGGTGGAGGTGAGGCGGTGAGGCGGTGAGGCGGTGAGGAGATGAGAGGAGGGCAGCAGTGGGGGATGGTGGAAAGATGGGCAGGGAGCAGCAGATCCTTACCTGATGGAGGAAGCCGTTGTTGGGGGATGCGAGGGGGTGCTTCGACTGGAGCAGTCTGAGAGCGTCTGATGGGGGGAGAGATGGAGGGAGGGCAGCAGGCAGGAGCGGAAGGAGGAGGGACGGAAGGAGGAGGGATGGAGAGGGGAAAGTTGGGGAGAAGGGGGCGAGGAGAGGGAGGAGGAGGGGAAGACAGAGAGGGTGAGGAGGAGAGAGGGAGGGGGTGAAGAGGAGAGCAGATGTCCCTCGCTCTCATCATCATGTCATTGCCTGTGTCGATTGGATTGTTTGAGGCTTCATAAGGCGAGCGTCTTCAAATCAACTCAAATCATGCGTTGACCAAATGCTTGGTGTAGATACTTTCACAGATATATCAACAAAAACTATTATACTGAGGTGTACGCTTGTAACGCACCCTCAGTCGTAGATCTGTGCAGCTTCATAAGGTAAGCGGTTACCACTGCGGCACTGAAAGAGCGCATGGGGGGAAGAGGGGAAAGCGAATAGGCGAAGAGCTTCTTTTGAGGCGACTCAAAGGTAAATCTGTCTCATGAGGTGAGCTGTTACCACAGCAGCACAGACAGGGAGCAAGGGGGAGAATGGGGGGAGGTGGAGAGGAAAGTATGGAGGAGTAGGGAAAGGTGGAAAACGGTAGGGGTAAGGTGGGAAGTGCGAGAAACGGAGAGAAGGGACAGGAGAGGACGGACGGGGGAAGGGAGAGCGAGGAACAAGAGGAGAGAGGAAGGCACGGCTTGAGGAGAGCGATGAGTCGAAAGCGACCTGAAGACAGAGGGATCGAGGGGGGAAGTGGAGGGGGAGGAGGGGGGGGGGGGGGGGGGGAGGGGAGGGGTTTGGTGGGTGGGGGGGGTGTATTGGATAACGAGGCAGATGAGGGACGCAGCTCGAAATCAGCCCAGCAACGTGCGCTGCGTGCGCGTCTCTACTTTGCTGGGTGCTTCGGGAGCTTCGCGTTGCTGGATGGTCGGCATGCACACCTTCGCGACACGCCAGCGTGGCAGTGCACGAGCACCTTCTCTCCGCGTCCCACGCTCTCCTCGACAAACGCCAGGCAGCTCGGCAGCGCCGCCAGCAGATCCGCGTCGTCCATGTCGAGGAGATCTACGGTCAGGCATTGCCGACCGTGCTCGTCACAGTCACGCCTCACATTGTCACATTCTATCCCACCAGGGTTAGTTTCTACAGCTTGTGGATTACCGCCTGCGGTTGCGTTCGTTACGGCGGGAATCTCGGCGGAATTCGCGGTAGATTCCGGTTCGGTAGGAGGAGGTGTGACAGTGACGGAAGGAGTAATGGAAGACGAACGTGCTACTGGGCAGAGAGAGAGAAGGCGCGTGATGTGCGCTCGCTCGAGCATACGTGCTGACGTGGCATCGGCCAGGTTGCCGATGAACACACCGTCGCAGACCTCCCTCATTGCGACTTTGAGCGACGCCGGGCGACGCTGTAAGACGAGTCCGACGAATGAGACGTATGCGATTTTAGGGGAACCGTTCGTTACTCTTTCGCGGGAATGAGACGGGCGAGACAGAAGGGTGTAAGAAGGAAGCAAGCGTGTGCGGCGGGATTGGGGTCTAGCAGATTTCCAGGGGAAACTAAGGCTGGCTGCGTTCTGCAGGCAAAAAAGGAAAGTGCAGATTACATCAGAACACCTTCCGAAAGCGATATTTTTTGCTTCGGATAGAGGGTCAGCCCGCAAATTTTCGCCCAAACCTGGCACAACGTACCCGAACCTAATTACGTCGACATGCCTACAGAACAGGTCCATCTACGGATGACATCTACGTCAGGGAAACACCCCCGTCGCTTCCCTCCCTGGCAAATTTGACGCAAACATGACGCAATGCTGACGTCCGCTTAATCTCAAAGGCTGTGTTCTACAGGCATTTGACGTCGACGTCGACGTCGACATTGAGGAAGCTCCTCAAGCGACTTCTAGAGCACTGGTTACCATTCAAACCAGGTGCACTTTCCAAACCTCTCTTGGAAGCAACGCGCCAAACTGTGGAAAGCGCGAGCGAAAGGAGAGAGGAGCCAAATTGAGGCTGATGTAACGCCACACGCAAGGTGAACTCCACGATGTAGCGAGCGTCAGCATTGCGTCACCTTTGCGTCAAATTTGCCAGGGAGGGAAGCGAGAGGGGGTGTTTCCCTGACGTAGATGTCATCTGTACATGGACCTGTTCTGCAGGCATGTTGATGTAACTAGGTTCGGGTACCTTGTGCCAGGTTTGGACGAAATTTTGCGGGCTGACCCTCGATCCGAAGCAAAAAATCAGACTTTCGGAAGGTGCCCTGATGTAATCTGCACTTTCCTTTTCTGCCTGCAGAACGCAGCCAAAGTCCACCTTGCGTCTGGCGTTACATCAACCGCAAGGGTATACTAGGCCTCCACACCCCAAAAATACAACCGCCACCACTTTACCCCCCTCGCGAGCTTGGGCCTGCCCTGCAAAAAAACAACAGCTGAACAAACCCATCGCCAACGAATCATATCTCAGCTGAACCTTTTTTCGTCATTTTGCCCCGGATAATTTCTCTCCTGCCCGAAGACAGGAGTTTTTTTTTGCACAATTTCGAAATTATCTCCTCTCTCCTTTCGCTTACGCTTTCCACAATTTGGTCGCGTGGCTTCCAAGCGAGCTTGGGAAAGTGCACCTGGTTTGGGGTGGTAACCAGTGCTCTTGAAGTCGCTTGAGGAGCTTCCTCAATGTCGACGTCAACGTCAAATGCCTGTAGAACACAGTCGCAAGCGAAAGGAGAGAGGAGATAATTTCGAAATTGCGCAAAAAAAAAATTGATGCCTTCGGGCAGGAGAGAAATTATCCGGGGCAAAATGACGAAAAAAGGTTCAGCTGAGATATGACTCGTTGGCGATGGGTTTGTTCAGCTGCTGTTTTTTTGCAGGGCAGGCCCAAGCTCGCGAAGGGGGTAAAGTGGTGGCGGTTGTATTTTTGGGGTGTGGAGCAAGCCCTCAGATTGGTTTTAAGTCATCCTGATTGCAAAGGACTACCCGTGGTTTTTTCCCTTAATTTTCAGAGGTCCCCAATTTTTTTTGCTTAGGGGTCAGGATTGTGTGGGACAAAAATGCTGAATGGACAGAGATAGATGGTTTTTTTTCCCTGATTGACAAAATGAAGAGGAAATTGAGAAGCAAGGAACTTTATTCGAAATTATCAAGATTGTCCACATTGTCACTACTACCTACACCCCACTCTGCCTCTTCTGCTACTATCTGCCTCTTCTTCGAGCCGTCTTGCTTGGCCTGAGGGGTGTTGTTGAAGGGCTTACGCTTCTTGTAAGCGCGCCATATCTCCACCACAGCATCATAGTCCGAGTCATAGTCTAACAGTGACATGCACATGAGGTCACTAAGCCTAGTATCTTTAAGGCTGCCACGCAGCCAGCTCTTAATCACATTCTGCCTAGAGAATCCGCGCTCGCACTCCACAGTGCTGAGAGGAAGCACTGCCACCGCCATCCACAGCTTCATCAGGTTCGGGTAAGAATCCTGCCAGTCAGGTGTCTTCAGCATGGCCGTGAGCCCAGCGTGAAAGCTTCGGTCGGCCTGGGGAAGAGCAGCAATGACAGGGCAGAAATGAGGCAGCTCTCTCATGGCTGCACGTTTGTCAATGCCAGGAAGAATCTCCTCTGCCTCATCTGCACGATAAAGAGTAACAAGGGAGAAGAACCAGTCAAGGCACTGGGCCTTGCGTGCAGCTCTCTCCCAGTTAGGGGGCCAGAGGTTGACAGAGAAGAGGCGGCAGCCAGAGAGCTTCCCCATATCACCCAGCCGCTCCTTCAAGTTCGACACCATGCCTGTCGCCATGGCCACACAGAGCCTCTGGCACGCGTCGTGATCACCCTCCCCCGGATAACCGGGCAAGCGATCTTCATGCAGCACGAAGGTAAAGGAAGCCGGACGACCGTCGGAGTCAACCCCATCAGCTGTGACCTCGCGAGAACCGCCCGGGCCGTGACGGGTGAGGAAGATGGTGAGACGGTCCTTCGGTCCCCCGCCGAAGTCTTCGGCGTCCCCGTAGCGGCTATGCAGCAGGGTTGTTGTACGGACGATCTGCGCATGGACGGCCGAGTACTCCAGCTGAGGTTGGGGCGGGGAAGAGGGGGAGGGGAGGAAGGGAGGGGAACGTGTATATATACAGAACCAGGGTGGTTTAATAACGACTCATTGTCACAGTAAAGAAAAACTCACCTGACGCTCCTGGAAGGACTTTTTGAGGATGTTTAGCTGCTCCAGTACATCAGCAAGGAACATGACAAGGAACCAGAAGCGGTAGCTTGTCACTATCCTGGAGAGGCGGGTATCAGTCCACTCCGAGAGCATGACGACGATGGCGGGTAGAACCTTGACTAACCTAATGACAGCCTCACCGCGGGAGAGCCATCGGATGTTATGAATGCCTTGAAGTTCGAGGTTCGTCGAGGTGAAGATTTCCTGCAGGTCCAAGAAGCGCTGGTGCCATGGGCCGGATAGTCCGAAATACTCAGCGAGCTCCTTGATGACATCGTCAATCATCTTGAACGCTGGCAAGGATTCCGCCGCTGCTTTAGCTGCCAATGCCTCTCTGGAGGGTGAGACAAAACTAAAAAAAATTGGTACATGTTGGGCCTTGGGAGTGGGGTAATACACATTGCACATGCGGAAACCACCAGTGCACTTAACCCGAGGTACAGTAGCGGTAAACAACAATGCTCGCCTGTGCGCAATACAGTGACACGACACCAAGTGCGGAATTTGCATCCGCAGCCGCGTTACAAGCCCAGCCTTCGACCCCATCATAACAGCAGCGCCATCGGTGCTTATGCCCACGACCCGTTGGAGGTCGACACCGATGGCGTTGATGTGAGACAGGAATAGAGCGAGCAAAGAGGCAGCGTCGGCCTTGTCGACGCTCAGCAGGGCCAGGTATTCGCAGACGACTTGGTTCTCGCGGATGAAGTGCGCAAACACGATGAGGTGCTTGCTGCGGCAGCGGTCTGTGCTCTCATCGATGCTCAAGCCGATGAACGGGCTCCTCAGAAGGTGGTCTAACTGTGTTGTCTGCAGCCAAGTTGCCATGGACTGTGTGAACTCCCCGTACCCATAACTGCAGTAGCCAAGGGCATACAGATAATTAGTATGCTGAAATATGAACATTCGTCATGCATGATAGATGCATGCAAAACAAAATCAAACACACAAGAATACCTGTTGTAGTACGTGCCATAGGTCTACTCGGGGAAGTGCTCGTGCCGACGTTGGCTGAGGTAGCGCACGAGCCTGATCCAGTTTTCCATCGGCTCGTTGCCTTTGCAGCAGAAGTAGAGCGCGTCAAGCAGCGCAGTCACACGTTCCTTCTCCAGGTCTGCGGCTTGAGGAAGCTGGTCGATCTGCATCTGGTTGGTTGCGTCCTGCAGCAGCGCCTGCTGCTTTGTCACGGCTAGGCGATGCTTGGCCGATCCCGCGTGCCTGTTGAATGCCTGCGACTGCACGTCCGTCAATCCTGCGCCGCGTTTGCCGGCTTTCCCTCTGAGTCCTGCATGCTCAAGGCACAGACTGCATTTAAACGCAGGGAATCCAGCGTCAGTCTTAACGATCATAAGCCAGGGAAACCGCTCGGACCACCGCGTATTAAACCTGCTTAGGGCTTCGCCGTAGACATCCTCAGGTGATCGAAACTTGTCGGGTGCAGTGGTAGTGTCGTCGCCATCGCTGTCGTCATCTTCGCACATGGCTGAGGGGCGGGGCGTCGTCGGCTGACCGCGTAGGAAATTCCACAGGGTGGATTGCTGGTATCGACCGCCAGGTTTCACAGGGGGGGCGGAACCTAGACTACAGGTAAAAGCATTAGCCAGGGATGGGCCTAGAATAGGCGCGGAATTCGGCTCGACAACACCTTGAGAAGTTGAGGCGACCGACTGCGAGGCGCATAGGGGGTTTTGTTCCGTCGGAGGGTTACGAGGAGTCTTCGAAAAACTACCTAGCGTCGAAAGGAGCATGTCAAGCCCAGTGGGGCCTTTGGCACGGTGACTGCCGCTGTCGTCGCCATCGTCGTCGAATTCCACGTCGCCTGACTCAGGCATGTGGACGGGGCTCACTAGGGTGGTCGACGAGCAGAGACACACGACGGAGTGGTTGTAAGACAACGACACCGCGGGGGGAAGGTTACGCTGGGAGTGGCTAACGCAGTGGCTGTTTCTACCGTGGGAAGAAACAGATGAAGAAGACGCAGAGGGGAAGGGGAACAATGGCGAGGTGCGAACACTTTGCCAGCTACACACAGTTGGCTTCCTGTATTCCTGAATCTGGACTGAAACTAGCGCAGCGCATGCGCGTCAGCGTCGAACCGAAGTGTGGTGTTGAAGCTGGGTCATCATCGCTGGCGTACATGTGATTGGCTATTCAGGCAGCATTTACAAAGGCAATCAATCCACGCATGCAGGCAAACTGTGTGCTGGCCGACACTTTGAGAAGGACCAATGCCGTGAGGCAGCGCTGCAACATGTGACTCAGCAAACGATGTTTGCAGGCGGGAACCTGGCAGTCAGGCCACTTTTGTAGGGGAATATGCGCATATCGCTGTAATTTTGGGG